TGTTCTGTTGTTGGAAATTGTGGGTCATGTCGGACAGAGCTCCGTACCTCATGTATCAGTGTAACTTAAATGGATTGATTGCGACCGTAATTTACCGAGATCACGGACGTTTCGGGATTCCTGTGGAAAGACTATTGACCACATTATGTTAAATCACAATCCCGCGTTATTATTTTCTCTTTTGTGAAATAAATTTCATCCACCTTTTTTACTCCATAAAATATTTTTTCTTCCTCTTGTTATTCGAATACCTTACAGTTATTACCAAACGTAATTATCAGTGATCAGTTCTCTAGCATCCTCTCCATTCAGCTGAATTTGTTATGATGGTATATGAATCGAAATTCGCTTGACTGTAAACCTTTTTTCTTCCAACTACGAAATCACTTCCAACCCAATGTACACGCAGCTCGGAAAAGGAAGCGTCAAAAACGTTATAGACCCATTGGTATTACTTTTGTCAGTCAAATCCCTTTTACTATCCCAAGGAAAGTTTCTTGGTTTTGATACAGTTAATTTCGGGGATCGGCTGGATTTTATCCCAGATGAACTGAATTTGCAGCGCGTTATGTAATTATCGCCTCCAACACCTTGCTGTGACCACACCTCTCTCCTGTGTATATCTAATGTTCCCATCCATTATATTTTCCTTTCACAGATGTTCATAAGCATCTCGCATATCAAACGCTGCAGTGCTCCTCACCACGATCTCTTTTGCATCGAATATTTTGGTACGTGCAGTTCGTCCCACTTCTAATTTTACTGTACTGTTTTTTGTATTTCTTTGCCGCGCTGTGGTTCAGATTTTCCTTCACGAAATCCGTTCTTTGCTTTTTTCAGATCAATCTGAGAAACGCCTACGCACCAAGGATTTGCAGACTGATATGGTGAGTTGCGCACACGTGTTTGCCTCGTCTTCTGATACACTACTTACTTATTTTCAGTAGCCACCGCTCATTTATGAAATAAAGTTTCCTCTCTCTGTTGGGTGCATACTTTCCATGGTGTTCATTGTAATGGTCATCATAATTGAATAAATTATATCTGGTTCAGCTCACATATAAAACTTTCACATGGTTAATAATGAGCCATTCCCATGAAAGATATTTAAAATTCGTCTGATTGCGACTTTTATCTGAGGTAGTTGTGAAAAACTAGTTTCTCAGGAAACCTGAAATATGTAGGGTGCACGGTTCCAATGGAATATCAGATGCCGAAGAAAATGAAAATGATACAATTTAAAATCATTGATTGTGTCAGATAAAATTTACGCTCATTGAGAAACTATTGCGGGTTTTGATTCAAACTCTTGTGAGAAATTAAAATATCAAGTAACTTGATGGTATTGCAAAGAACAGCATGAATTTATTTTATCAGACTTTTATTTACTTCATACAATTCTTGCCTACTAGGATTGCAATGCGTATCAATGAATCAAAAACTGTCCACTACTAGCAAGAACAGCGGTACTTTGCATTTCACGCTTACTACTCAACTGTTTTTCACTCTCTCCAAATAAAACCACCATTGGTTTGTGAGCTATCGAAAGCATTATATTCGTTCATTATGGAGATGAAGTTCAGTTATAAAAACCCACGTCCCAGGTCATCCAGAAAGTATTGTAGGAACCATTTCTAACTTGTGAAGCTTTGCGTTTTTGCTATCTTCACTCAAAAGCAGTTTACTCATCATTTTACCAACTGCAGTTCGACATATCAGGAACTCTTCCCCCCCCCCCAACTAGGGGAGGCGGTGGTTGTCTATCTATGTTTGATGATTTCGGCTTTGTTTAACTTGTGCATCTAGTTTATCAACCTGTTTCCTGCCCGATTATATCAGGCTTCATTTGTAACCCTTACCGAGGGATAAGATGGTCAGTAGCATTGTGATTGACTCTTCGTTTGGTATTCAGTCTTTTTCGCTAATCAACCTCAATGAGTAAAATAGTTCGAGGTCAAGTTTACAGTGTTATTCTGTGGTATGCAGTTGCCAGTTTTGAACTGTTATACATGCAATGGAATTGTTTTTTTTTAAATTTTTACTCGTTCAGGCTCTACTGGTGCTCAACTTTTGGCAACGCATGCTCCTGGTGGAAATTGGTCGACGTCAAGTCGTTGCCCGTGTTTACTCTATACCAACGCATTAGGTAGTTAGGGTCGCTGAGTGCATGTTGTTCTCCTACTTGGGGTGTGCTGATTCGAAGCATATTCCGTTTGAAAAGGGCTTTTCACAAACCCGGTCCTCTCACACTGTACGCTTTGGGTTATCTGTGAACGGTCGTTCAGCCTGTGAATTTTGTCTCCCGTTTCTGTCGTATTCTATTCATGCTGGAACCAAACGTTTCAGCTATATTTGATGTTGTGAAGTCATGTGAGGATGTTGTCCATCGTTGTGTGTGCTACTGTCGTGTGCCGTATATTTGTTATTCAAATCTTTGTGATTTTCCCTTCTCGTTGGTTTCGCACAGGCACCACATCTTATCCAACGTTTTCAGCTCTTGGTTTCTGAGATCAAAGTTAAATTACCTCAATCAGATCGTGGAAGGCGCTCAGATTGCTCAGCGGAATCTGGATTGTGTTCCATGCGGGATGAACACTTGACTCGCCACACGCTTCTTGCGATGGCAGTGTGCAACGCTCTCGGCCAGGCTCAGTAATAGTTCATGATAATGGTGCTTACGCATATCTCTCTCTAACCATCTCGTTTAAACAGACCTCTGTGAATCCTCAGAATTTTCGGTTCTTCTTCTGATTCAGGTTTTTGTTCCATTTATTCTGTGATATCATAGAAAATCCATGTCTGATCACAGTCGGTCGGTCGGTACACGTTCTTTCTTCCGTATTTCTCTCGATCGACTGTGATATAATTTATTGGATATTCTTTTCCGACAAGGGCCAATTAATAACCAAAATAAATTCTGTATCATATTCATATTATTATCTATATTCCGAAGGTGAAGGTGATTTTGAGATTATCCTATTTCACATACGTAGTACAACGTTTTTCCTCATTGCTAAATGTTCCTCATTCATTCCACTTCATTGTCTCTGACACATCGCCATACGAAATGCTTCCATTTTTTGACATTCCACTTTTATTGACAATTCTTACGAAACTACCCACTGAACTATCATGGGTTGGATCTTTTGGAAAATGTGCCATGGCAAAGCTCTTTCTGTGCTTGTCTGCACAAGACGTTTCAATTATCATTCGTGTTGGATGAGAAAGGCTTCCTTTTATGTGTCTACATGCGGTCTTGGAGAGAGAGTGCACTCGTTGAGATTGGTTCTTTCATCACTGAATGATGATGGGGTTCATCAACAGCTTTCCATTTAGAGTAATTTCATTTATGTTTTAACTCTTATTTGGTTCTCATTTTTCCCTCGAGCAACATATGCATTTGATTTGTTCCCATTCCTCAACTTTCTGTTCGCGAGTCTTTCGTTTGTCTACTTGCCAGCCTAGTACTGACCGCTTCCATTCACATTCTACTCCTAGCGTCTTTTTTTGTTTATGCCATGCTCCACGCTCCTATAATTGTGTTTCGCCTTCCATACATGATAGCAACCAAATTAATCACCCCTACGATAATACCATTATTATCAAAAATAATATCATACACGCATTTTTCGAAACTCGCCTGACTACACGTTTGAAATGCTGTCGGTCTGTGATCGATTGTTTTTAATGTTGGCTTAGAATGCGGAAGTGTACTGGAAGGGATATGCCAGGATGAACGATTCGAATTTGAAATTCCATTCTTGAATACAAGCAATACTCCAATGCAGCCAAGCCTCTGCTGAACAATCCCTCCCACTCACTACTTTATCGTGGAGGGATTTTCCCCCCACCAAAATGAAGAGACGTAGAGCCAACATCCGAATCGGTGAACCATTGGCACTTTGCCTACAGGGGTTGGCTACAAACCAATCCAGAAGAGGCATGCAAACCACACCTTCCCGGTTGTGGCCGTGGTCTAGGTATCGAGGTTTATTTGGCACCTTGGATGCTTGACCCCGTTAGAAGGGCGCATGATCCGATGGCCAGAGTACTGGCCTCCAATGGCCTACATTTTTTTACAGACCGCCTCACTGCCTTGCGGGTCAGTCTTTGGCCTGGGCGACCTGGCAGTATCTAACCCTTCTTGCAAATCATGGACTTATCTTGATCATGAAGACTAGTTTACCTTCATTTGCTTGAGTCCAGACTGTGGGCCTAACGAATCAAGGTAAAATAATCTTCATGACAAAGTTAAGTCCATGATTTGCAAGAAGGGTGTTGATCAAACTGGTGCAACATCACTCATTTTGGAAATACATTTCAGTCTCATATCATACTTGTATACGGATGGCTATCGGTAAAGTGCATTTACTTCTGATTTTACCTCCCACATCTATTTTCTTAGTTCTCTCCAGCCACCGTTTGAATTTGCGTGACTTCGAGTTTTGTGATAAAATTGACAGTAGTTCGATAGTTACAACTGAGATTTCGGAAATATTCTACGCAAAGCTGCATGGGGATTCATTCTTCCTAATAAATGATTCCTCTTCGATGAAAGTGTTAAGCTAAGTGAACGTATTCTATGTTACTCAGTGTATATGGTAGATAAGAAAATTACTGAAAATATTCAAGCTTAAATAAATTGATGAATTATTTGGCTATAAATACTCACGCATTACCCACAATACTGAAAGAACCGAAAACGTAGTCCAAGAAACAAGTTTACCTTTAAGTGTGCGACTCGTTGAATAGGCGTCTTGTAGTGTTACCATACCCAACCCGTTTGAAGCATGCAAAAGGTTTTGGCATATAACTAAAGCCTAGAGACAACTTAATTCAGAAGCGCATAAATCCGATGACTCATTTGGTGTCTTTTAGAAGTGCTTCGATGTGAACAGAAGTCCAGTTTGTTGCATATTCAACGAAATTTCTCCATCAAAACATAAATCGATCATATCAAAGCAAGACGATGGTTGTATTTGATCGCAGCAGAGAGCAGTTGCATAAAACCAATCTGGAGGATAGTCCGGGATGATTAGCCGGTTTCTCCTCACGCTTTCGTTTGGAAAATGATGGCTTAATTTAAAGTACAGCTGAGGCCACGACATAAAGTCGTTGTGGAACGCCTAACAAAGCAGAGGGCGTACTGATTTTACCAACAAATTCCAATCGTATCGTCCGTCCATTTGGCACTGGGTTTATCTTTCTGGGTCTCAACGAGTAACTGAGCATTTAGTGAGAGCTAACCTAACAAGCCATTTTTCTAATGAATTCCGTTTTACCTGTCAAAGGAAGTAAATATCCCGCCTGACGAGTAAGGATGGAAGTAAATATCGAGTGCCTTGTTACTGGTTTGCTGCACACCAATCTGGATATAGCACAATTTATTGCATTGATATGGATGGTTTCAAGTAATTGCTGCTCTTCAAATGCATTTGCGGAAGTGATATTTTTCACAGATGAAAGTTGGTATATCTCACTTGAGGTTTGTAGTAGAAAACCGTTAGACCTAATTGAATTTTTTCCCCCACATTCATGCAGTATCTGGAGGAGTCAAGTTCAATGTCAGATTCGTTCAATTACCGCGCAGCAGCTGGGAATTTAATTTATTCGAAACTTTTTCCCTGTATCAGAAACAGGGGTCAGTTAACTATCGCAACATTGGTCGTCATTGGTAAGGATGTGGGGTGTATAAGGGGGAACTTGCAAATTCTGTTTGGCTGTCAACTTGGTGGACTCCATGCTAAAACGACTGCCTGCAGTGCTCACAAATGAAGAAGGGCAAATGGAACATGAAAGATATGAATGTACGATACCTGTATAAAGTCAGTCAATTTAATAAATAAATTCTATTTACGTTTTCTAATGTGACTGTCATTTTACAACTGCTGCACAAGCAGCCATGGTCAAAATCACGAAGTCGTACATCTTAATGGTACGTGGCTAATAAAAGCAAAGACATAAGTAGGTATTATATCAGATATTTTGCCTCTGATGTGGGGCAATGTCATCTTCAATCCCTTGAATGAGGCTGTAAAAATGAAGCATTGGGAGGGTCGAATGCGATGAAAATCAGGATGTACGAGTTTGTTCATGACCTATATACATATATAAGCATTTCATTCACGCTCTTCATCTCCCCTGGGTTCGCGCACCCGCCCCTGCCCACACACCCATTTACACAACACTAATCCCTGAGAACTGGGTCACACGACCGACGTGACATGACTGAAAACTCCGGAAGCACAGGTCTGAGAATGCGGTGTGCAACACACACAAAGTGAACAATTCCTCACATTTAATTGTTCTCCTCCCAATCCCTAGGTTTTTACGCTCATATGAACGTTAACGGCATGATTATAACGTACGGGAAACAATAATTGTTCGCCTGAAATTGTGTTCTAAATGATTCATATTTGATCAACTTGTTTGCATCTAACCGCGGAGTATCAAATCATCCATTTGCGTTTGGTGATTTCAAGAAGTGCTTCACCCAAAATTTGCCCACCGAGGTTCACATTAGGTATTTGTGGAAGAATACATATTCAGGAGATAAATATATGAAAACAACCGCTTGCGCAGTGCTGAGGAGTGGGAATAAACGCAAGAACAGGTAGCCCATGTCCGTTAAAAATTTCTTCCACCGTTTAGGCACTATCCAATTTGCTGGTCACAGTGCATTAATTTAGGAAGGATATCACCGAAACCCCGCGGTCGTATTCAGCTTGCGACAGTGAGTTTATCTCCTCATTTCGGTAATAAATCAACTACAAGGTTGATAAGGGGAGCGTATGCGGGCACCATCGATAAGATATATTGTTCTGCATTCGAAGTAAGTCAGCAAACTCGCGCTACCGAGACTCAAGAAGAAGGCTGCGAATGTAGTGATTTGAATATGGTGAGAACTCATGAAGAAAAAGTCATTGTTGCAAACTCATTGGTTCTCGGCATATTCCTACTCGCTTAGTATTGCTGGGTGCGCCGTAATTGATTTCAATGGTCAAGATTGTGTTTCTGTTGTTATAAGGTAGCATATGCCTTCTACCTCACTGATGCGACCTCGATTTAGAACCGTACACACAGTTGCTATTACACCGGTATTAATCTTGGTGTTTTATTCGTTGAGCCTGATTACACCAAGTGCAC